CTGCTCCCTGCTCCCTGCGCACCGTCCCCCCCCCACACACAGAGCCACGTGCAACGAGGTGATGCGCGTTCTGCGCAGCAACAAGGACAGCGTGATGGCGATGCTGGAGGCCTTTGTGCACGACCCGCTCATCAACTGGAGGCTTCTCAACACGGGGGACAACCTGCCAGACGCGGGTGCCACCGCCACCACGCCGCCGCCCCTCCCGCCCCCTCCCGACGTGCCCAGCAGCACAGCCTCAGCCGCCTCTGTGGCCGCCACCATCAGCAGCGGCGCCGGCGAGGCGGAGGAGGCGGGACCGGCGGCGACGTCCGTCGCACCGCTCCCCCCGCCGCCCGGCGGCGTGCCTGCAGACCTGCGCACCGGGCCGCCCTCGCCGCCGCGCCGCGACTTGACCCGCGAGCAGGTGCTGGCCGCGTATGGCGGCATTGGCGATGCCACTGAGGTGCTGAATGAGCGGGCGGTGGCGGTGATGAAGCGCATGTCTGACAAGCTGACGGGGCGGGATGCGGTGGCGGAGGGCATGGCGGCGCCCGTGGACCCCGACAGCGTGGCGCAGCAGGTGCAGCGCCTCATCGCGCTTGCCACCTCCAATGAGGCCCTCTGCCAGTCATACATCGGTGCGTGAGGCTGGGCGGTGCTGGGTGCTGGGCTGCATGGTGTGTTGGGCGGCTTGCTGGCAGGGTGCGGCTGCCCTGCTGCACCACGTTCACGCTTTACTGACACACTGCTCTGTTGCTTCGTTTGGGTGTTTGTGATGCAGGCTGGTGCCCCTTCTGGGTCAGTGAGCTGCCTGTGGTACTGTATTGCCCGTTGTGTAATGCAATGTCCCTCTCACACTCGCCGGGTTTGCTCTCATCTCTGTTCTGTGATGTAGTCACTGAGATCTTCACTTGCTCCCCCCTTCCCGCCCTGCAGTGATCCATCCATCCGACAGCACCGTGCGAGCCAGTTGTTCCATACCCCGCCGCCGCTGCCGTCGTGCCGCCGCCTCCTTTCTCCGCCGTTGCTGACCTGTTGTTGCTCTTGGGAGCGTGGCAGAATGCATGCCTCCCCATTTTTCGTGCTCCCTCCTTGCATGCCTTGCTGTTCCCCTCATCCGTCCACTCTTGTTGCTTCTCTGCCATGCACCTGACTGATTTACTGTTCCATTGTTGCTCTGTAACAGTACCGTTGTTCGACAATAGCTAGTCGTGCTGCACCTCCAACTTAGTAGCACCCAGCGCATGGCACAGCAATGCATAATCAAATTCACTACGCAATCTGGCTCTCGCTGGATTCAAATCATCACACACACACGATCACATCATCATCCTCAGCTACTTGGCCCAGCTCTCTTCAGGGGACGTAGTGTACGGGCAGCTGTACAGGGATCTCAGCAGCGGTACAAGTCCACCATGTCCGCCGGCGGGCGCTTCAGGAAGGAGGAGCGCGTGCTCAGCCTGCTGTGCTGGGATGCACGCAGCGGCGAGGCGCGCTTGGGCTGCGGCTGCGGGTGCGAGGCACGCAGCGGGTGGGCCGAGGTGGTGGGGTGCAGGGTGGATGGCGTGGCAATGAACTGCGCCATGCCGTCGGCCTGACGCGGGCTGCCCTCCGCCAGCTGCGACACTGCCAGTGAAAGCGAGGCCAGCAGTGGGTTGCGCCGGCCCTTGCGCACGGTGGGCGGCGCAGAGCCGCCCTTGGCGTCGCTGCTCACGCTGCTGCCGTCGTCCACGCTGTCGTTGCCGGCCAGCGCCAGCGCTTGCAGCACCCGCCGAGACGGCGACTCTGGCGACACTGACGACACCGGCGCCTCCAGCACACGCTCCAGCGGGTCGGCCTGCTCTGGGCGCACACCCAGGAAGTCGCGCAGCCTGGGCAGGGCGGTGGGGGAGCAGAGGCGCGGATGCTGTCTGCTGCCTGGTGCAGCAAAGGAAAAGTGCTGATGAGGCTGCCAGGTTCCAGGTTGGGAGCCCACATGCAACACACAACACTGAACAAGCCACGGCTGCTCCTCTGGCTTGCCTGCTCTCCCCCTCTGTGGCATCCGCGTATTGCACGGGGGAGGGCGCCTTTGAGCTTTCTGGGCTGCAGCTCTGGCCGCCCTCAGCCAAGTCCGTTGCGGGCTCGGGGCTGGGACAGCCCTTGCTGCTGGGCGTGGCGCTGCCGCTTTGCCGCACGAGGTCAGTGATCTCCTGCAGCAGCGGCACACAGATGGGGGGTGGGGTCTTCCAGCACAGGACCTCTCTCTGGCTGCGTGCCTATGACCATTGAGGCAAGCCCCCCAGGCTGCGACCCCAACTGCCGCGACCTTGATGGTGCGCAGGCAGATGCTCATGCGTGCCCGCTCCTGCTGCAGCTGCGCCGAGTTGCCATCCGCCGCCAGGCTCTCCAGCTGCTGCTGCAGTGCCGACAGCTGGACAGTGACGTCAGCCTGCCCAGCTGACGTCAGCTCCGGGGCCTTGGCTGCCTGGGGCTCCTGTCGCTGCTCCTCCAGCTGCTCTTGCGCCAGCTCAAGCGCATGCCTCAGTTGGAAAGCCTCCGCAACCGCTACATCCCGCTGCTCCTCCAGGCCCCGAGCACGCTTCTCTGCCATTGCTTTCTGCAGGGATCAGGGAGGTGGTGCACATCAGCCAGGAGCACTGAGCACGTGCAAGCGACACTGTGAAACTCAATCACATCGGCGTAGCATGGCACACCTCGGCATGAACCTCATGCATCAGGCCACCAAAAAACTGCAGGCAGGGAGAAGGATGCCAGCAGTCAGAGCAGGCACCCATGCATGCAGGCCTGCCAGCCAGGCAATCATGAGTCTACGCCAGTGGGCGCCCAACCGCAGCACAGCACTGTGCCCCTTACCTCCTCCACACGCTGCATCTGGGTGGTGGGCAGGCAGGTGATGTGCAGCAGGCGCACAGCCAGCACCTGCAGCAGCAGAGGACAGCGATGTCTGCTGGCAATGGAAGGAAGTAAGCGAGGCACCCCAGCTAAGCAGCTGGTAGCCGGCTGGATAAAGCTCCTACTGGCGGCGGCATTCCAATTTTGTCAGCACCCCTATGCTTGCCTTGTCAGGCCACCGGCTGTTGCAAATGGCACCATCCCGCTGCTCCCACGATGCCCCCACAGCAGCCCAGCCCCCGCTGCCATAGGCCGTCAAGCCCAGCTGGTCGCCGGTGCTGCTGGCGCACAGCAGATGGCCATCAGCCGCCACGCTGGCCAGTGCGATGCGGGGCCCATCACGCAGCACGCGAAAGAGCGAGTCAGGCTCCAGCGACTCCACTGCATAGTCACCCGCATGGGTGTGCCAGCCCGATGCGCCTGCAGGCGGGGGAAGTGTGCCAGGCAGCTTCTTGGATGAGTCCTGGGTCGGCCCAACCCTGGCTGCCCCCGGCCGTGTGCGGCCCAACCTGGCTGCCCTGTGCTGTGCGCTTGCCTCTGGAGCTCCAGTCCGTGGCGGCGGTGGCCAGGGCCCACTGGCCTCCGCCTTCGCTGCTGCGCCGTGCCGTCAGCAGCTCATCACAGTCAAAGGCCAGCGCCACCACGGCACCGGGACGCAGCGCCTCGGCGCCGGCGTCCACCTCCGCAAAGCGGCGGCGCGGCGCCTCCAGCCGCTCCGCACCCTCCAGCCGGTCATAGATCCGCGCCTGCAGGTTGTGAAAGATGTGTAACTGCTTGTACTGGACCCCAATTTGCACATCAGTTGCCAACCACGTGGTGGAATGCACATCAGCAGACACCAGCAGGCACAAACCTTGCGAGGCGCAGAATTGTACATGGCCTTCGATTGCTGTTGGGGGGTCTGCCACGGAGGAGCCTCCACCTGTGAGTAGGCTCACCGGCGTTCTGCGCATGCAAGCGGTGGTGCAGAGAATCAACAGGTGTGGGGCCAGGCGTGCACAGGCAGCGACAGGCAGCGGCGGAGATGGCGAATGCCGCAGGCTGCTGCACGAACCTCGCTGCTCACGCTTTTCCTGGCGGTGGGATGCACAGGTTGTCTTCTGCAAAGGTATTTGATTAGCCTGGGCCTGTGCTCGGCCCTCACGGGCACACCATCCCGCCTGTGAGAGGGTGTGGGAGAGGCAGGGGGGCGGCTGGACGGACTGGGCGGCGATGAGTGACGTTAGATTGCATTGGAGGTCATCAAAAGACAGTAACAACGAAGAATGCTGCGGCTGCTGCGTGTCGTTCAACTGGTGCTCGAGCCCGCAGCAGCTCCTGCCAGCCTCCGCTTGATTGCAATCTACACCCCTCGCTGCACTGCTTGCACACAGCAGTGCTGCCTAGCGCCCTGGGGAGGCGGTGGCGGAATTGAAGATGTCGGCCAGGCGTGCTTCGGTCACCTCCAGGCGCCGTTCCAGCGGCTCTTCCACGCGGCTGCTAGGCGCGGTGAAGCTCCAGAGCCCGCTGAGCGCCGCCGCCGGGGATGCAGGTGCGGCGTCGGGTGGGGGGCGGTTGCGGGCCGCGCTGCCGCCCATCTTCCCTGGCAAAGCTCTAAATCAATCGCCGCCTTCCTGAGTCTGCCTTTCAGGCTCTCCCATGAGCAGCAGCTCCGAGCCGACATCAGCCCAGGCAACCCCGCAGAACCAGTCGCCGCTCGTGGACGCTTCTGTTCAGGCCGCCGCACGTGGCCCGTCCGCAGCCGTCGCAGCAGCTGATGGGCTGGCAGAGTTCAGCTGGCAGCTGACCACCAGCCGCAGCGCCGATAGGTGGCTAGAGGAGCGACTCACAGCCGGCGCTAGCAGTCAAGGTTTGCTCGCTACGGCTGGTAGCACAGGGGTGCCCGTGTTTTACATGTCCCCCGTGTCGCCTGCCCTTTGCTGTTGCAAGTCCACCACATCCAGGCTGCACCTCATTGGTAGAAGCGTGCCGCAGCTCTCAGGCCAAGGCTTGACCACATGCCTCCTCCCGTCCTCTGCGTTCTTGCAGGCGCACGCCACCAGGGCACCAGCCCCTCGCCACTGGGCCAACAGCCGGTGGAATCAGCTGCGACCCAGATTGTGCACAAGGCCCTGCGCTTCATCACCGACCAGGCGCCCTCACCGCCGCCTCCAGGAGCAGCTGATCCTGCGGCGAACATGAAGCCCAGCTTTGACTCGCACACATTCCTGGATAAGGTGAGTGACGGGGCAGGTGGTACGGTCAGCATGCACACCACGTGCATGTGGGCTGTGTGGCGGCTTTGGCTGCCAAAAGTGTGACCGTCCGTCCTGCGCCATGTGTTTTCGTGCAGGGCATGGACGCCATCAGCGGCGTGGGCAAGCTGATGGAGGGGTTTGCCATCACGCTGGACACCGTCATTGGTCAGGCATTTGAGGACTGGGGCACCACCTTGCAGCCCAGCAGGCCCGGCAAGCCAGCACGGCGACTTCCCGGTGCACCGAGCTCCAGCGGCGCTGCTGCTGCTGGCCAGCGTGCGGTGGTTGCCGATACGTCGGCCTCTGGCGCTGGCACGCTCCGTGCTGAGCAGGGTGCCCGGCGGGGCCTTGACGCTGCTGGCGACAAAGAGAATGCTGCAGGGGTGGCCAGGGTGGCCGGCAAGCAGCAAGCTCCCAGGGCGGCAGGCAGGCATGCTGCGGTTGGCCAGGGTGGTGTTCCCTCTAGCCGCCAGCCCCACATCACCTCCTTCATGTCCAAGCTGGATGCGGCATCGGAGGAGGAGGTGGCGGAGTGGCGGCGGCGCGCGCAGCAGCTGGCTAGTGAGCTGCAGCGTGTGCGGGCGCAGCAGGAGGAGTACCAGCGCCTGAGGTGGGGTGGCAGCCTGAGGCTGCGCGGGATGTCGACTTGGCAGTGATTTGAGGGCTGAATGGATCGCTGTTGGAATATCTTGCTGTGCGGAGTTTCCACAAGAGTCACCCTACTGTCTGGCTGCTGTGCTTACTAACTGCAGGCTGCAGTACGACAAGCTGGAGGCGGACCTGCAGCAGGCCAGCACTGCGGCCAGCCGGCTGGCACAGGAGAACTGCGAGCTGAAGTCGCTGGGCGGGGCGCCGGTGGACTCGGCGCTGGGCGGGGCCGACCCGCTGGCGGCGCAGCAGGTGGCCAAGCAGATGGAGGCGCTGCTGCAGGAGAAGTCCAAACTGGCGCAGGAGAATGACAGGCTGCTCCGTGAAAACTCGGGGCTGCAGGTGGGTGGATGGCAGGGGATAGGTGTTGGAGAGCAGGAAGGGGGCATAACCAGTGCAAGGCAATCCTCATCAAGTGCTGATGTGTGGGCTGTCTTGTCTGCCTGCAGGAACTGCTGGAGTTCACCCTGCAGCACCATGCACAGCTGGCTGGGGACAACGAGCTCTTTGGTTATGACGAAGGGGAGGAGGCGGGCGAGGTGGTGCTGCCATCACCGATGGACCAGTCGCCGCCGGCCAGCGAGGCAGGAGCGGACGAAGGTACCGGGGTTTCGACAGGGGCTGCCACGCTCGCCGCGGTGCCGGCCAGCGCCTGATTGTTTGTTGCCTCTTCCCTTGATGTTGAGAGTTTGGCCCTATCAGCCATGGCCCCATCCGCTATCCCATGGGCATGCCGTCGCGCTGTGCTGGGCCCGCCGGGCAGCATGCCGCATGCCGCCGGGCACATAGCATGCGTTGGTCGTCCCTCGTTTGTAATCGCGGTCCTATCACCAGCACAGGGTGTGAAACAGCAGAAGAGCTCAAACTCCAGTTGCCTTTCATGTCTGCTGTTGCCTCCTCCAGTGGCAGGCTGGTCGGTTGCGAGCTGAGCGCAACACTGTGCGGCACACGCCTGCGTAGCGGCAAACGGCTAGCTCCCCGGCAGCCAGCGCCACGGCATCACCGAATGCGAACGGTCTCGCCCTTGGCAGCTATTGGCGGCAGCAAAAACTACAACAAGTACAAGTGAGCTACCATTCCGGGACACCTGAAGCAGTGCCGCCGTTGGTCGCCGGCGGGTGCCGCCGGTCGTGGCCACGCTGCCGCTACGCTCTGCTCAGCTTGGTTCTGCAACTGGTGCGGCGCCATGTTGCAGGAGCCGCCAGGAACTGGAGCAGGACTATTACAAGGAATGGGCGGAGACGACCAAGATGACGGAAGAGGAGAAGCAGCGGCCCATGACGGCGCTGACGCTGCTGACGTTCCTGCCAACCTGGTTTAAGTTCTACGTGGTGAGTGTGAGGCAGCTCTTGGCTTGTCATGCTGCAACCACGACACGATCAGGGATGCACATCAGTCAGGGGAGGTGGAAAGACCGCTCACACTTTTGTTGCTGTGTAGATCCCTGGGCCCATCCGGTTCGTGTGGTACTTTATCTGGACCGCTTGGAAGCAGGGCGGCTACCAGCTGCGCAAGAAGGTCGTGATCGCAGGTGATGATTGGCAGGCTTGGAGAGGACCCACCACATGCTGTGTAGTGTCTGTTTCCCTCGCCTTTCTTTCCCAACTTTTTGCTTTGTGCCTACGTGGTCCCCACAGGTGCCAAGCTGGATGTTGCTACCATGCAGCGGCGAGGCAGTGCAGCGGGCTACCGCCTGCGGGAGACTGCTCTGCGGCGGCTGCATGGCAAGGAGAGCATACTAGCACCGCTGTGGCTGATGGTAACGGGGTAGATGGTTCACAAAAACAATTAACATACAGCAAGCAGACAATGGCAGCAGGCGGACAGGCAGCAATGTGCTTTGAAAAAGAAATGGAGCAGGTGGGCATGTAGTGCAAACCAAACAGAATTTGATACAGGACAAGCAAAGAAGAAGTGTTGTGGCCGACTGGGCGTCATGCCGCGCTGCTGTGCCTGCTAATGGGCTGTGGCATCTCCATCTTTGGCTTGAGCACCTCAAGCAGGCGTGGCAGCGTCTGCAGGAGGAAAAATGGGGCGGGGCTGAGCTGGTTGGTAGGCAGTGCAAGCTTGCAGCAAGGCGTGCCTCCACCGACGTGAAATAGCTAGCATGCATTATCGGGCCCCGTCACCAGCCAATCCCTACTCGCCTGTGGGATGCCCCCAAAGATCTCAAAGTCCAGCAGCTTGCCGCGCTCCGCATAGAAGCGCTCCACTGGCTGCGCCTCGCGCGCATACACCTCCAGCCGCCGCCGAATCACGGGCTCAGTATCATCCGAGCGCTGCTCCATGTGCTCCACGCACTCGGCCGGCGGGCTCAGTGGCGGCATCACGATTTCGGGGCGCCCGTTGCTGGCTGGCAGGTAGATGTTGGCGATGTTGTAGTTCTTGCCGCACTTTTTGCACAGCCGCCGCCCCAGGCACTTCTCCACCAGCACCTGCGGCCAGGGAGGTGGCAAGTGCAGCAGCGGGCATGGCAGTGGGCGCAATGGGCACTGGCACTGAGAACCTGCCTGCATAGCCAGCGTTTGCACACCTCCCCCTCCCCTCTCATCCCCCATCCCACCTCCTCACGCAGGGCCAGGTTGACAGCCAGCTGCACGTCGGCAATCTGCTCCAGCGCCTCTGCCTGCTCCACTGTGCGCGGGAAACCGTCCAGCAGGAAGCGGTCTGTGCCCTCGCTGTGCGCCGTCATAAAGTGCTCGCGGATGACGCGCAGGATGAGCGCATCTGGCAGCAGGTCGCCCCGCTTCACGCACTCCTCCATCTGCGCAGGGTGCAGTGGGAGCGGGGTAGGCAAGTCAGCAGCCATGTCCAGAGAATGATGTCTGCCAGGTTGCCGGCTGGGACGGCATGCCGTTGGCAGTGGTGACAGGCTGTCATCAGCTGCGTGACGCCAGTGCAGTAATGCGCTGCCAGCCCCGCCTGCTGCCGTGGCGCACCTCCTTGCCAATCTCCGTGCCCTTGCGCATTTCATCACGCACCTGCAGAAAGCAGAGAGGGGTCGGCTATAGCTCAGGTCCACAAACACAAGCGTCAACCATGCAGCTTAGTTTTTGGTGGAGCCACGGTTGCTGTGTCTGCATCTCCAACCGGGCGCATTGCGGGCAAGGAATGAAGCCTTCCCCCTCGCACCAGATCGCCGGATGCAATGTGGGCCAGACCAAAGTAGTCAGACACGCGACCACTGTAGGTGCCCTTGCCCACGCCTGCAGCAACAACAACGGCGGCGGCGGCGGCAGGCGCACGGCAGGGATGGCGGCACTCATGTCAATTGCGATGCCTGTGGGCTTGCAATTGTTTCGACAAGTGCCAGGAGGCGTCCAAAGGAGCCGGGAAAGAGATGGCGAGGGTCAACAATTGGCTGATGATGCCGCCCGCGCACCTGGCGGTCCTAAAAAGACGAATGTTGCCGGGCGAGCATCAGAAAAGGCTAGGCTGGACAGGTCCACACGCTGCTCCCACTGCCAGCAGGCCCTGCGAACTGCAGAGCAGGCCCTGAATAGCTGGCTGCGCGCCATGCTAGTGCCTGTTCGCAGCCCAGCGACGCAGGGAGAACAGGACGCCTTTGGGTTTACACGTCTGGACAAAAGGCAGCGCCACGTCGCGCGGCGACGACGTCATGCAATCAGGGCATGCAGAGCAGGCGCAAATGAAAGGCAGCAGGTAGCAAAACAATGCCTGGCGAATGTATGCATACGTGGTTGTACAAAGGGGAATGGCCCCTCAACATGCAGGCAGTAAATGCGACTGCTCTTGGGATGCGGTTGGCGGGCCCGGGGATCACTGGCCCTCCAGTGCCTCCTTCTTTCCGGCCTCCGGCTTGGTGGTATCCGCCTGCTGAATCAGCTGGAGCACGGTGGCAGGGGCCTCCTGGTCGGTGGCCACCACCACGCGTGAGGTGCCCTCCAGGTAGGGCTGCATGGCGACGCCCAGGCTCTTGGCTAGCATGCCGCTGCTCGGCAGCGGCGTGCGGCCCTCCTCGGCAGCAGGCGTCACAAGGCACACCTGTAGCAGAAAACACAGCAGCGGCGGCAATCGAGGCGCTGCACCCACGACATGCAAAACACGCACAACACTCCCTGCGGTGTGTGCCTGCAGCCCGCTCACCCCATCCGCCCCATACCTGCTGCATCCCGCCAATCAGGTCCTGCGTGTCACTGCAGTAGCAGCCCGCCACCAGGTCGCTGCCCTCTGCCGACCCCGCCGTCTCGGCCGCCAGCGCCAGCACCACCACCTTGTCCAGCGGCAGGCCCAGCTTGTGCGCCATGTAGCGCATGGCCAGCGGGCGGCTGGCACGCAGAGGGGTGATGTGCAGCACAGACAGGTAGTCCTCGTCACGCGGCACCTGAGCCAACAGGGTGGGGCAGGGCGGGGGCCAGCAGAGGTGGCTTTGGTGAGGTAGGGCGTTAGCGGGAGTGGAAAGGAATGTGGCTCGTTAGGCGCTTCCCAACAGCCAGCCTTCTTGCCAACCCATATTTGCTTTATGTGATTGACCTTGACCTGGCCTGCCCACCCTGTCCTGTCCTGCCTTCTCTCCCTGAAACCCATCCCACCCACCATCTGCAGGTTGTAGGAGGCACGCATGCCCTTGGAGCGCAGCCGCTTCTTCAGGCGCTCCACCACCGCCAGTGTGCGGGTGGCGGATGGCGTGGTGCGGCTGCGCGGCCCCATGCCCGCAGACAGGATGGCCTGGCTCTCAGGGTCCAGCTCCAGGCAGATATGGCGTGGGTGCACACCACCTGCAGGCTGCTCCTGCACGTTGTACAGCAGTTCCTGCGCGCAGTACAGGCAAAGGGGCAGCGACAAGGGCACGAAGCGGCACGGCATAGGTGAGGAGGGCAGGGCAGGCAGCAGACGACGAAGGCTGGCTGCAGAGACGCAGGGGGCACTTTGCTCGGGACGTGACTGGGCAATGCTCAATGCACAGCGCTCGATGCCCAGGCTGCCTGCCCACCTTGAGGCGTGGCAGGCGGCGGTTGTCCTCCTGGGGCTGGCTGATGATCTTGGTGAGCATGCGGTGCAGCAGGATGCGGTCCCACTCAAACCCAATCTGTCCCTCGTATGCCTCGTCCGCCTCCCAGCGGCCCCCGCTCTGCCCCTGGTGCCAGGCATCAGCGCCGCTGCAGGCGGCGAAGGCGAAGGCCAGAAGGTAAGTTGCCAAATGCAGGCTGCTAGTCTGTGCTGCCTCTACCTCTCCTCTCTGAAAAAGGCAAGCACATGTGCATGCCATGCCCACCTGTTGCAGACCATGAGGTCAAACTCATCACGATAAATGCCAGCCGCCTGCGCCATGGGTCAGTGTCGTGGCGTCACATCGGGAGGAGGGTTGTTGCAGGCCCACAAACCCAAGCACAGGCCAGCACCCCAGCGTCAGTCCAGCACCCAGCCTGCACGCACCTTCAGGTGGTCGGACGTGCTGTCAAAGCCCAGCATGCTGAGCAGGCCCACGCCCACATCCTCGCGCAGCCCCGCGGCGCGCAGCCCCTCCAGCAGCCCCTTGATGGCGGCGGTGGCCTCAGGCAGCGCATAGTCGGAGTCGAGCGGCACCATGACCAGCGCACGGCGCCGCTGGCCCATGGGCACCTCGCCTGCAGGGAGGAGGCAGCAGGCCCAGCCAGGCTGCCTTGGCCACCTGCATGTCTGTGTGCCCGTGCCTGCCGCAGCCGTCCGCGCCGCGTTCAGCAGCTGAGCCTCAGCACAGCGGCGGCGAACTCACCTCCCCTCAGCAGGCCCTCTGAGTCGATGCTCTGCAGGATGGCCAGGTCGTCGTTGCTCATGCCACTCATCGTCTTGCGCACGCCGCCGCCCAGGGGCCCCGCAGACAGCTCCGGCTGCGGGCGAGCAGCAGGAGGGGTGCCGCAAGGATGAGGAGGTGGAAGCAAGTGGCTGCGGGTAAGGCGATGCAGGCTTTGTGGGGGGGTGCAGCGAGCAGCGTAACAAGCTCGGCAGCCGCCTCTCAAGACTGTTTGCCTCCCCCATGCGTTCCCACACCTGCTGGGAGGGGTGTGGCGAGGAAAAGTAACGGGTGAGCGTGTCGGGACTGTGCACCACCCCGGTGCCCAGCCCCAGCGCGTCGTGCTGCTCCTTGGCCGACTCGGTCAGGCCGCCCACGCACGGGCGCTTGCCCAGCAGCCCCGACAGCGTGCGGTCGTGCCTCTGTGGGATGGGCAGAGGGGAGAGCAGGGGCGGGCTGGTTTGGTGTTGCTGTGCCAGGCACGGCATCAGAATCACACGACGGCGCCAGCTTACCGCAGCAGGACCCCCCCACACACATACACAACCGCTCCCCCAACGCACCCTCGTGCTCTTGATGGCGCGCTTCTCCGCCTCGATGCTCTCCAGGTACTTCTTGCAGTGGGAGGGCCAGGAGTAGGCCTGCGTGCGGAGGGGCGCACAGCAGGCGCCGGTGGGTGTGGAGGACAGCAACACTGGGGAGGGGTGGCACGCAGCAGCACAGGCCGATGCCGCCCTTCACAGGCCAGCATCCCTCCTTGCCCCACCATGATGTTCCTGATGCCGCTGCCGCTCATGTCGTCCCAGGTCTGGGGGTTGGTGAGGATGCGCAGCAGCGCGGCGGCGACGGCATCCGGGTTGGTGGGGTCCACCACCACGCCGTGGTGCAGGGTGGCCATGATGTCCACGGGGCCGCCATTCTTGGTGGCCACTGTGGGCACGCCGTGGGCGGCCGCCTCGATCACCGTCAGCCCAAACGGCTCCTGAAGCGCGATGTTCACAAACACGCCGCGCGTGGCCTGCGCCAGGGGGGCGCAGCAGGCTAGGCTAAGAGTGGAGGGCTGCTGGAGGCGGGAGCGGGTTCCTCGGCAGGCAGGCGGCGGGCAGGCAGCCAGGCTCACAAATGCAAAGAGGTAGATGTCTGAGATGTCCATCTGTGTGTGGTGCTTGGGGTACGCCACGGAGCCATACTGCAGGCCACGGGGATGGAGCAGTAGCCACCAGGCGGTCGGGCGAGCCCTGGCTCTGCCCACCACCCTGCTACCAGCACATGAACCAGTTCCGGCCCGCAGGCTGCCCCGCCACCCAATGCTCACCAGGTCGTGCGAGTCGATGAGCTTCAGCACCTGGGTCAGCACCTTCTGGCTGCCGCTGGCCATGCTGTCTATGTTGTCGCGGTTGCCCTGCAGCCCGTGGGGCGGGGGAGGGCACACATGTTGGCTCCACGCACGGAGTGTATTGTCAGAGCCACCCCACCGCCAACTGCCGCGCCCGCTCACCATGATCAGCACCAGGTTGGCCAGCTCGCGCAGCATGGCGTGCTTTCCAAACGCCTCCACCAGCGTGGTCAGGTTCTTCTTGGGGTCGGGGCGAGACATGGCCAGGATGGCGGGCTTCAGCGGGTTGCGCAGGTAGCGGGAGATCTCCTGCAGGCGTGCAGGTCGGCGGGGGGCGCTGGGAGGCCAGATGGGCTGCAAGCCCAAACCCACAAAGGCAACAACATGCGCAGGGGATGGTCAGTCAAGCCCCACTGCCAGCTCACCCTCCAGATGGGCGGCCCCGCATGCGGGTCCAGCGCCATGTCGGCGGCGGGGCGGGGAGTGGGCGGGTCGGCTGCCCCGCTGCTGCTGTCGCCGCGCGGCGACTGCTGGCCGGCGGCGCCGCCAGAGGCAATGCTAGGGGTGTGGGGCGCGGTGCCGCCCGCCCCCGCGCCGCCAGCCGCGGGCTCCACCTCCTGCCCAGCCTCCAAACGGCGAGGCGAGGTGGCACCACTGGTGGCAGTAGCCCGGGGCGACAGCGGCTGCGGCTTCTCCAGCAAGTCCTGCACCGCCCGCGCCTGCTCAAACTCGCGCAGCGTGGGGTCCTCGGGCATGCTGACCTTGAGGCTGCTAAAGTCCAGGCCGGGCGGAATGACCTTCATGCTGCCAGGGCGCGCCGGGGGGGCGGGGCAAGGCAGGCAGGCGGGTGTGCATACACGCCAGAAACTGTAGCAACCCCTGATGCCCTGCTGGGTGCACCAGCTCCCCAACAATCCAGACACACCGCCCCGCACTCACTTGGGCATGTGACGGCCATAGGAGCGGTGGAAGCGCAGCACGCGGCTGAGCTGCGGGCTGTAGCCGTCGTACAGCCCCCACTGCTCGTCCACCTCCTGCTTGGTGCTGGTGAACACCATGACGGCATTGTCCAGGCACCGCTCCTCCGCCTCGATGCGGCGGCTGATGGCGTAGGCCGCCTCGATCTCGCTGCGCGTCATGGCGCCTGCGCGACAGTGGGCAGGCCAAAGAGGGAGGGCAGAGTAGTGAACTCGTTACGTAAGTGATGCTACACAAACCAGGCACGGGGCAGAGCCTCCCCCACTACAGCCGCCCAACCCCAGGCACACAAACCCGCCCCTACCTGACGCCAGCAGGTGCTCCAGCTTGTTGCGCCCCAGGCTGTGCCCCGTCATCACCATGTGCACATCCAGCGAGCTGCTCATCAGCACAGCCACCTCGCCCGCATCCGCATAGTGCCCTGCGCCCAGCCAAATGGAATCGAAGTAGCCGGAACGGTGAGATGGGGGTGAGCAGGGTGATCCAAGGCTCCGTCTTCACAGCCGTGTGTGCACTGCACCGGCCGCCTCCCACCCACCCCTCCCCCGCCCCAGGCCCGCTCCAGCCCAACCCACCGTGCACGGCATAGAGCTCGCAGCGCCTCCCCGACTCGGCCATGGCCGCCAGCGTGGCGTTGGCGTGTGCAATGCCTCGGTCCGCAAACTCCCGCACGTACGGCCACAGCAGCTCCTTGCGCACATACTGCTGCGGCGGGCCGCAGGGCAGGCGCACGATGTAGGCGCCGCCCAGCTCGCCGCGCCCCTTCACCAGGCACTCCTGCGGCTGCCCGTATGAGGCATCCACGGCGGGGTCCCTGCGAGGGCGGGGCAGGGGGCCATCCAGGGGAGGGACAGCAGTCAGCCGGCATCGTGCAAGACTATCGCCACGCATGACGCCTTTGCATGCCCCAGTTCAGCCCGTACGCAGCTCACTGGATGAGGCGTGTGAGCAGGTCGACTCGGTAGACAGAGGGGTGCAGCGCCAGCGCTTTGGCCAGCTCAACCACATACTTGACCTGCGGGCAGCAGGCAGGAAGAACGGGAGGGTGGCAGGGCTTGAGGCGAGGGTGGGGGCCACGACAGGTGGCTGGCAGACCTGACGGCTGCTTACTGGGCTGGAAAGGGGCCGTACAATTGACGGGGGGCATCAGCACGCGGCCCCACGATGGCTGCCCACAGCTCCCGCAGCGCTGCGCCTGGCATGCGCACCTGGCCACCGGTGTCGCTGTCGCGCCCCAGCTCCATGCGGTCGCCCCGCACCTGCAGCACTGGGAGTGTGGGTGAGTTGGTGCTGGCAATCCGGCACAGCAAGAAATAGAGAAGGACAACAGAGGTGGCAGGGGGGACAAACTGGGAGGTGCATTGCATGGCGGCGCACCAGGCCGTGCAAGGAGATGAGGATGACGTAGAGGCGGTCAAAACGGTTCTCCAGCGGCCCATGCGGCGTCCTCTCGCTCACCGGCGTCCCCACTAGATCCTCAAACACTGCAGCCCATGGCATGGGAGGAGAGCAGGCGACTGCTAAGCTGCGCAGCACCGCAGCGCCCCCTGACACATGCCAATCGATGTGACTCGACATACCCACCCAGCTGAAGCCCACCTGTCTCCAACGCCGGCATCTCTGTCTGCCCCCCAACCTTGACCTGCAGCTGCTTGGCCTTGGGAGCCGGCTCGCCAATCCCTAGAGCCCCCACCGCCCCGCCCCCGCCCGCAGGCGCGGCCACATCAGTGACTGCCGCCTTGCCGCGTGCCTCGGCCGCCAGGGGCGAGGGCTCGCGCTGCTTGCCGCGCTCCGCGCTGGCACCACGTGGCGGGGACTTGACCCCGCCACCGTACACCTCATCCTCCTCGCTGCTGTACCCAGTGGTGGCCTCCTCCGTCAGCACCGATTCCTCGTCGTGGCTGCGCCGGTCGTGCTGCACCTTGGCGTGGCGGCGCCGCATGTGCCAGATGCGCCAGGACAGGTACTGCAGGCGCGCATCCTTCTCGCCGCCCTGCTTGGTGGCAGACGATGCCTGCAGGGCGGAAGGTGCGCAGCAGCACGCAGCGCAGCCATGGTGTGGGGAGGGCAAGGCTGGCAGCAGCTGCAAGCGGCAGCCAGAAACTCAGTCAGGCAGCGGCAGCCAGCTGTGACAGCCACAACAAAAGCTACAGCGGCACATACCTTGCTCCACGCGCTGTGAAGCGCCTGCTCATCCAGGTTGAGCAGCGACTGCACATAGTATCGGCTGCAGGCAGTGCAGGAGGCAGAGAGATCGGGTTACAACGAGAATTCTCCCGAAGCAATGGCGACTGGCAGCTGATTCTCCATACTGGGATTGAAATAGCAGACACCGCACCTGTACAGGCTGCGGTCTGCATCTGGCGCCTTTTTCTTCGCTTCAGCCTCCTTGGTGCTCTTCAGGTACTCGCTGCTCAGCCCATATGTCAGCACTGCAGGGTGCCGGGCCCAAAAGCAATTTTGTGCAAACCTGCAGTTTCGTGATGCAAAAGCGCTGCCTGCCCTGTTACCTCCCCCGGCCCTCACTTACGAGCATCAAGATAGCTATCCACCCAGGCGTTTCCTGCTGAGCTCTCCGCTGCAGCCATGGTACCCTGCGGAACGAGGGCGGCAGGCGGCGGCGGCGGCACACAATGCAGTACTCACACGCCGCTGCCCACACTCGGCAGCCCGCCTGTGGCAACGTGCTGAAGGCTAGCGCAGGACAGCAGGCGGGAAGCGCGTACATGGGGTTCTCGAGCACGCCGCTGACGGCGACTCTCTGGAACCACTCACCCCTGTCACAGACTCCCCGTCACCTCCAATCCAATGATCGCTCGGTAGCTTGCCTCCTGCCGCACACGCGACTTTGGAGCACTTGCGGCCACTGCAGCCCCCAGGGTTGCCTCGGCGCCCGGCGGGGACCCAGATTGCAGATTGGCAGGTCCGCAGCAACGCAGGGGAGCTGCGCTGAGAAGCGAAGAGGACCTGGCTTGCCAAGTGGCACAGTTTCCGGGCAAGCAGCGCAAGACGCACGGGGGACAAGAAGTGAGTTGAAATCACGGTGCCTGATTGTAAAGAATGAACAGAATAAATGATAGTAACGTTACGCTGCTCAGGCGGCGGCGGCGGTGTGGGAAGCTGCCGACACAATGTGAGTCTGACCGCGCGGCTCCTTCTGCCCCGCCGTGGTAGGCAGGTCTATTCTCCCCCTTGCTACGGGGTGTCCCTACTTGTTTGTCCAGAGAGGAACCGGGCTCATGTCGCTTGCGCCACGCCAACACGCTGGGTCTGCACCGCCTCCACTATCGTGTTCCGCGTGCCGTTGAGGATGAACACTGCACCGGCATGGTGGAGGCTGGAGCGGCGCAATTAATCCCAGGGCTGATGCTCACAGCTGCGCCCAGCGACTGAGAAACAAGCGGGCACGTTGACAGCTGGCGTCTTGCCTGCGCAGACGATGCGGAAGGCGCGCGGCCACAACCCGGCAAACAGGGTGCCCACGCCCTCGGTTTGGATGATGTGCTGTGTGGTGGACAGCAGTGAGCGATACTGTGGATGTGCTGCCGTGTCGGGGAATGCCTGCAGGCAACGCGGCAGGTGACGAGAGGAGGGTATCGGCAGGTTAAAGCAGCAGAAGCTGGGGGAAGAGGCCCCCAGGCCCCCTGGAAGGTGTGCATGCTACCCAGCAGCTCCCAACCAGCAAACGCCAACAGGCGGGGTGCTTGCACCTCTCCTGTCCACCGGCAACCTGCCTGCATGCGCGTCTTGATGGTGTCTGCCGGCTGTGTGCACACGGTGGCCAGCAGCCCCGCCGCCACGCCCGATACAATCAGTGGCCCGCCCGGCAGGTCGGCCACCACCGCTTGCTGCTGCAGGGCCTCGCGCAGCAGCGGTGCCACCGCCAGGTACCCCGAGGCATACAGCGACTCGCGCAGCACGGTGGCGCTGAACCCCTTGAGCGGCTTGAGTGCGCCATAGGTGGACAGGATGTGGCGGAACTCAGCGGGCAGCGGGCGCCCCGATTTCTGCTGCTGGATCATCACAAACCTGCTGGCGGCGCAGCAGCATTGAGGCATGTGGGCGGCATTCCCGGTCTCCGCACAAGACAATGGCGGGGCAGACCCGCTCACTCACTCTGCGGGGCAGCCCAGCACCGCCGATGATGCTCCTGCTCCTAGGGCCACTCCTATCCGGCCGCTCGTGCCTAGCTGCTCTGTATCATACACCCGCTTGTACGTCTGCTCTAGCAGGCGGTTCATGCCAAACTGGACCGAGGTGATGGGCAGCATTGCGCCAGCGTTGATCTGCATCGCATCGCATCGCAAGCGTGCCATGATTGCGTGCCATCTGGGGAGAGGACCTTCGCAATCACAACATGCTGCTCAGACAACGAGCGCCAGCGGCGCCGCACCCCAAGGCCTCGGTACAACCCTGCAATGGTCCGCGGCACTGGTCGTCCCTCTTGCAGAGCATTCTTGATGCCCACAGTCGGCTGCAGATCAAGGATGGGGCGCCTGGAGATTGAGGGGCTTCCCATGATCTCTCGAGCACAAGGGCAGCATAAGTGGCCGGCCGGCTGCTGCCTGGGCGGGCGGCGGCGGCGGCTTGAGAGATGGCGTTCGTCTCGCCTGCATGATGGACACCTCCACGACCCCCGCCAAGGCCCCAATGGCCGTGTGCTCTAGAGGTGTCACAGTGCTCATCGCACGGCTGTTGCGCCGCTGGTTAATGGACTTGGGCACCTAACAGCCGCGGCCGATGGTCGAATGAAAACTGGTGGGTAAGCGCAGACGTCAACAGCGGGCAAGCAAGCGAGAAGCGTGATGAATCCCTTGGCATGCATGACCCCGCCCAGCGGCGACAGGTGATCGGAGGCCTACAGGTGGCGAGTTGGCGGGCGCAAGATTCAATGCAAGGGCCGGCTTGCGCCAGCCTATTGCCTTCTCGCTCCACATCGATCACCATAAGCGCTGCCTGGAATGTCTCAAATGGCTTCCTGGGCTGGGCAGGCCTTCACCACGGCCTGGCATGTCCCGGCGCCCAAACGCACCTCCCACCGCTCCCGCAGTGCCCTGCCAACGGTGGCAGCGTTCGTGCCGTACGGGGAGCAGCCTGTTGCCGCCCCGCCCAGCGTTGAAGCTCTCAAGAACTCTCAGCTTGTGTTCTCTCTGCAACAGCCAGCGTTTCCCTCGTTTTTACCGACCCTAGAAGCACCCCGGCTGACTTGGGACGCGGCCACAGGTGGGATTGTGGGCAGTGGTGGGGTGCCGCCGCCACCGCTACGTGTTTGTCCACTCCACTCCACACAGTGCCTGCCTGCAGACATCATCGACCGGGCCGCCACCCAGCCTCACTGGGGCTTGCGGACAGCGGCTGAGTCGCTGCAGGCCGCAAGCCAGCTTCTACAGGCCAGGGAACCGCCAGGCTTTAGAGAGCTTGCCAGCACGCTTGGTGAGCTGCAAGCTGCGCTGACCGACAGCATGAGGCAGCTGGCCCGCCTGCCGGAGCAGCAGGTGGACAGCCTACAGCAGCTTGGTGGCATCCAGGTCAGCAGCCTGAAGCAGGTGGTGAGCCAGCTGCAGCAGGTGGCTGCAGCGGCGCAGCAGGCCGCCACCTCCCTGAGCCAGGGCGGTCTCGGCAGCCAGTTGGCGCAGCTCGGCAGCACCACTCATGCCGGCTACCGCCTGCAAACATTGGCAATGGTGGCCGCCGGGGTTGCGGCTCTGGTTGCGCTGTCGGTTCCCCGTGACGACGGCAACCAGCCGGGCAGCGGCAGCGGCGGCAGCGGTGGCAAGCCAGGCAGCAGCCGGGCGAGCAGCACGAGTTCCAGCTCGGATGGCGGCGACGTGCTCCCAAGCACCTGGGACGCCGAGGCCGTGGGCAGGTACTACCGCCAGCGCCCCGCCCTGGTGGCGCGGCGCGTGGTGCAGGTGGCCTCCGAGGCGTGCAGCTACGGCGCCGCCCTGCTGGCAGACATGGCGGCAGGTGCGCTCCTGGCTTTGCCGGTGGGCCGCCCGGCCACAGCCGCTTGCCTGCTTGGCTGACCACTGTCATGGTGGTGGCGGTGGGGCAGGCAATATGTGGTCGGTGCAGTTCCCTGCTCCTGCAGCGGCTCACGGTCAGGGGGGGCGGTCGAGCACATACCACCAACCAACCGCCTGCTGGGCCCTCCGCCTGGCTGCAGGCGCCGTGGAGCGCAACCAGGCGGAGCGTGCAGACCAGGCCATGGCGGCTATCGAGCGCCTGGGGCCCGCATACGTCAAGGTGGCCCAGGCCCTGAGCACCCGCGTGGACCTGCTGCCGCCGGCATACCTCTTCGCCATCCAGCGCCTGCAGGTGGGTGGGTGGGTGGCTGGCTGGCTGATGGGGGAGGCGGCTGCACGGGCGTTTGACTCTTTGCCGCTGCGAGCTCTCACGCCCCGCCGCCCTGCCCGCCCGCCCGCCCGCAGGACCGCGTGCCGCCGTTTGCCGACGCCCAGGCGTACGCCTGCATCGAGCGCGCCTTTGGCGCCCCGCTGGGCCAGGTGTTCAGTCAGCTGTCTGACACCGCGGTGGCGGCCGCCTCGCTGGGCCAGGTGTACCGAGGCACGCTGCGGGCCACCGGCCAGGATGTGGCCATCAAGGTGTGCGGGCGTGCACGGTACCGCCAGCCATCGAGGCGCTGCCGCACAGCTGCCCGCCTTGCTTGCCTGGCCACGGCTGTTGGCGAACCCGGGCCCGCCTGCCTGCCCCCCTCGGCACCGCCGTGCAGGTTCGCCGCCCGGATGTGCTGGAGTCGGTGACCCTGGACCTCTACCTCATGCGCGGCGTGGCTGCGCAGCTCAACAGCATGCCAGAGGTAGGCAGGGCAGCTGCAGAGGAAGCAGCGGCATGCAGGCTGCCTCCCCAAGATCCTCTGCCTGCCGCCGTGCCTCGCCCCGCCCCCACCTGGCGTTCCCACCCCCTCTCCCTTTCTGCTTGCAGGTCAAGTCCGACTGGGTGGGCATCATCGACAACTGGGCGGGCCGGTTCCTCCAGGAGATGGACTACCTGCTGGAGGCGGCCAACACGCGGCAGTTTGCGGCCGACCTGGCCGCCCTGCCCGGGGTGGTGATCCCGGGGGTGGTGGCAGAGGGCACCACCAGCGACGTGCTCATCACAACCTGGGTGGAGGGCGAGCGGCTGAGCGACAGCAGCGCGGGCGACGTGCGGCAGCTGTGCGACACGCTGCTGTCCGCCTACCTCATTCAGCTGCTGGACACGGGGCTGCTGCACGCCGACCCGCACCCCGGCAACCTGCTGCGCACCACCGACGGGCGCATCGCGATTTTGGACCACGGACTCATCCAGGTAGGGTGTGGTGTGTGTAGGTGGGGTGGGTGGGGTGGGGGCGCACCGCCGGCTTGGCATTGCTGCCCCTTTGTATACGCTGCGCCGACACCAGAACCTGGACTTGCATCCACCGCCCGGTCACATGCTGCGTCGTGGCCTGCCTACCCACCCGGCCACTGACCGCCATGGGCCGCGCACTTGTTGTGGCGAGGTGCAGGAGGTGCCGCGCGACTACAGCCTGGCCCTCATGGAGTACATTGCGCACCTGAGCGTGGGCGACTGGAATGCGCTGGCCGATGACCTCGTCAACCTTGGCTTTGTGGACGACATCAGCGACAGGGAGCGCCTGGTGCGTGGCGGCTGGCACCGGCAGAGGCGGGCTGCGCGACAGATGCCAGCAGGCCAGCGCTGATCCCCTTTGCCCACCGGGCGCCTCGCCATGCAGGTCGGCCCGCTCGGCCGCATCCTCACGCAGCTGACGCAAGGTGGGGGCGCCAAGAACATCAACATCGCGGTCGTGACCCAGGAGATCGAGAAGCTGTCGCAGGAGTTCGAGTTCAAAGTGCCGCCCTACTTTGCCCTCATCCTCCGCACCTTTAGCGTCATTGAGGTGAGGCGCCACCTGCGTAGAGGGTACCCACCTTGGCCGGCAGGACGGCCAGCTCTTGCACTGACTGCTCTGGTCGTTGCCGTGCCCTTGCATGCAAGCGTGTGCATGATGGCTACGAAGCATGATGCATGTGTCAACAACCACACCAAGGAACTGGCCCCCAACATCGGTCACTGGGATCGCCCCCCCTTTCCTCCCACCTCGCAGGGCATTGCGCTCCAGGTGGATCCCAACTACTCCATCGTCAAGGAGTGCTTCCCCTACATGTCGCGCCGCCTGCTGACCGACGACGACCCGCGGGCGCGCGAGGCGCTGCGCCAGCTGCTGTTTGCCGGCGGCGACCAGCTCAGCCTGGAGCGCGTGGAGCGCATGGTGGAGGGCCTGTCCAGCTTCACTGTCGACGGGCTGGCCGCGCCGCCGGGCAGCGCCGGGCAGCTGGTGGGGCCGCAGCGGCAGGCATCAGAGGATGCGCCGCTGCTGGACAGCACCGCCAAGGAGGTCCTGCAGGCGGTGTTCTCGCAGCGCCCCACTTACGTCCAGGAGCTCCTGGTGGAGCAGGCCGTGAACACGACCGACGCCGCGGCGCGCCAGCTGGCCGCCCTCCTCCTGAGCCCTGCCCTGGGCAACATTGTGGCGGTGCAGACGGCCATGCAGGGCAATGGCCAGATGGGCAGCGCGTCGCTCCCGCCAGCCCTGGCGTTGCTCACCAGGCAAGTGGGACCGGCCGGCCGCCTCCCCTTCCTGCGCGTCCCTTTTCCTGTGCATGCGCCAACCGTGCAAACCTGCCGCCACCCCCTCTGCAGGCTGCCCTCGTTAGTGGCGCTGTCTGCTGAGGACCAGCAGCAGCTGCAGACGGCGCAGGGCATCAGCAACCTGCTGCGGCAGCAGCAGCCGCAGCAGGCGCAGCTGACGCCCCGGCAGGCGGCGCAGCTGGCGCAAGAGCTGGCCCCCCTCCTGCCAAGCCTGCTGCCGGGCATTGCAGCCACGGGGCAGCTATTTGTGCGCCAGCTGGGCCAACGTGCGTACAGCCGCGTGGCGGCAGTGGTGAGGGAGGAGAAGAGGGGCGAGGAGTACAGCGCCCTGGATTAGACGGGGGCGGGCTTGTCACCTGCTTGCCTGGGCGCGCTTGGTGCAGTTGGTGAAGCTTGTCAACCCCTGAATGAATGCCACCGTTTTATTGCCTTCAGGGCGCACATTTTGTCCTTTCTGCAGCATGTTTGATTACGTTGCAGCACATCGCTGCCCTCAGCATCTTCTGTTGAATACCCTGCTCAACTTTCATCCTCAAATCAACTGTGCCATTTGTGCATCTTGTTCTTTCATGGTGCCTCAGTAATTGCTTGAGAAAACTGTTCGAGTACAATGGATCATATGTAAGCACCTTCTAACCGGAAGGAAAACAACCAGGGGAGGCTGATGGTGGGCAGCGCTGAGCTTGGGGTCCAAAGCCGGTTATCCCATGGGCCACCCTGTGAGGAGAGAGGGGAGGGGGTATGGGGAAGAAGTCCACGTGGGGGTTGGGGGCAAGTGCCGGTTGGCGCTCCAAAAAAAAATCCCGGGGGCTAATGAACCTGACCTGGCACTTTTTGAATTTTGCGATAACTTTGCATTCGCGCGTAAAATGAGCAGCCTCAGGAACTCTGCCAACAATACTTCTTGCTGGGTGTGCCCTGGGTCCAAGCTGCCGCTTACACTTAGTTGTAATAGAGCTCCAGATGGCAGGTGATGACAGGGCAGGTGCGCATTGCAGCATGAGTGCAAATGGGTTGCTCCAGCATGCACGTTACATTTCCACACATGCCAGCAACTGCTCCTTACCCCATTCCATCGTGCACCTCGTAGTCACTGAGCGTAATGTGATCCTTGTACACTGCAGAAGCTCAAGCAAATAGGGGAGGAGCGTTCAGTACAGTAGGGAGGCGGCGGGGGTCCACACGCGTGCACGGCGGGCGCCAGCCAACAGAGCAGGGCACAGGCAGGCTCCATTGGTATGCCCAGCATGCACAGCCGCACAGATGAGGGTGACAGGCAGCAGGGCAAAGGGGAGGCAGGCACCATGGCTGTTCCCACATAAAACAGACAAAACCCTGCCTTGCCTGCCAGCTTGCCCACCCGCCCACCCACCTGTGTACCACTTCTGAATGCGGATCTTTTCTGGCCGAGTTCCTGCAAGGGAAGGGAAAATGGAGCAGGTTGCCAGCCAAAAAGCAGCAACTCACACAAGGAGGTCGAGAGGAAGGTCAGCATCGGGCAAGCCTTGCCCGCATGCTTGCCTGTCTGCGCCGCCACCATTTTCTTCAAGTCGCCGATCGTGTCATCCTCGTTGCACTTGACCCGGATCTGCAGCATGTGTCACCATGCCGTGAAGTGCTTTGCCATGCTGACAGTTAGCAGCACGGTGTTGGGGGGCAAAAGTCAGCCGCATCACTTTGCGCTTGAGCACCGCACAAGACCCCACCTTCTTGCCCAGCCGATCGTTCAGCACCACCTCGATCATCGTGCCGTGCTAGTGACCGGGGCTGCCCACCCCCTGCTCTGTTAAAGTGCCTGCAGGCACCTGGGTATGCCAGGAGGCGGTGGACGGCGGCACGGCGGCGCAGCGGCTCCCGCAAGCGACGGGGGCGCACACTGCGGCGGTGCACGCTGCAGATATTCCTTTCACCTGCTGCCAAGAAGGGAGCGTTGAGGAAGAGGGTGTGTGCAACTCGAGTGCGCGGCACAGTTCTGCACGCCACCTGTGCAGCAACGTTGTCAGAACTGATGTGTGGTACAACTGCAGGCGTGCGCTGCGACGCAGGCAAGTTCTCCCCAATACCGTACCGCCTGCGTCCGCAAAACAGCTCATGCGGCAGCTGTCCATCTTGCCCGTCCTTCCGTCGCATCCCCTCGCGTGTACAGCACTCGCGCAGCGTCGCTCCACCTCTCTGGTCGACATTCCAACAGCTAGGGCAAGATGGAGAAGAGCAGCAGTGCAGCGGAGATGTTCACGCCGGAGGCTCTGCGTGCCGCCAGCCGATCGAGCCTGGAGCCCGCCCCCACCAGGCCCGGGGAGAGGTCGCCCACCAAGTGTGCTGCCGCTCAACCGACACAGCCCGCCTGTGGCCTTGCCCTGTGCTGTCCTGTGTACAGGCGGTGCCATTGCCGTGCTCCACTTGCTTGTCAGGCAGCAATTGGCAGGGGGTTGCATGCTGCTGACAGCTCTGTGCCCTTGAGCGGGTGCCTTGCCACCACTCGTACCGCACAAAGGGCGCGGTGGTTGGACCGCCCCGCCCGCCCAGCCTGCAGCACGTGAACAACCGCTAACCCCGGCTCTGCAGGTCCTCATCCTCTGTCGCCAAGCCGCCATCCAAGATGCGCGGCAAGCTGAGGTGCGAGCCCGTTAGGCCTCCCCCCCGTTGGGTTCCAGGGGCATGCCCCTGTTCAGGTTGCTGCACCCCACCGCCTCGCCCCATGCCCACCTGCAGGCGCTGCGGCCACACCCTGTCCTTTGTGCCCTGGTGGGCGCTGCTGTCTCTGGGCCTGCTGGTGGGCGGCATCACGCTGATGGCCATCAAGGGGCCGGCCGCCGCGGACGCTGCGGACGTGCTGTTGGGCCAGCTGTCCAGCGACACAGGCACAGGCTACCCCAAGTACATGTCCATCTACAGCACCAGCGTGTGGGTGACGGTGGGCGTGGCGGGCGCCGGCGTGGCGGCGCTCATCCTGGGCGCCTCGGTGCGGCTGGACCAGCGGCTGCGCAAGGCCGGCAAGTACGGGCAGGCCAAGGGCAGCTACGGGCCCCTGCTGTTCAAGTTCTACTCCTTCCTGGACTGGATGGGGCTGATCTTGATGACGCTGCTGGCGCTGTGGGCGGTGGTCATCGGCGTGATGCTGGCCAGCTGGGCCTCGCAGTGCTGGAACCTGGAGCAGGTGAGAGGCACTGGGGGCCAGCTGCGGCGGTCGCTCACGGCGCTTGTTCTGCACGCCAGGGCTGCCTTGCAAGGTGTGCTTGGCGACGAGGCAAGGAGCCAGAGCTGGGAGAGGAAGTGGCGGCGCGTTGCAGTGTGCGAAGATGAAGACCCGCAAATGTCGCCTGGCCCGCTGCTCGCGACCTCGCCTGCCCCCCCACACACACTGCAGGGCGCCGCCGTGGCATCTGCCAACATGGCTGCTCTGGATGACATGGCTTCCAAGTACACACAAAACCTGAACAACTTTGCGGCCGCCGTGATGGCGGCTGCTGGCGGCACTAGTGAGTTGTCCGAGCAGCGGATGTGGGCAGTGAGCGCAGCCGGCGGCATTCCTTTGCTTGCCGTTGGCAGCGCATCTCATCACATATAGTACACCGTACTCCCAGGTGTCTCTAGGCGGAACCGCTTTTTCATGGCAGGCCTGCTGATGCAGCGCTTGCTCATCCGCTGCTGGCCTGCAGCCGCCGCCCAGCTCAACAGCATCAAGTCCTTTGGCATCCAGCAGGCCGGCGCCCCAGCCCCAGCACCTGTCGCCCAGCCTGCTGCCACGCCTTCCCCTGTGGCCGCCCCCGAGGAGGCCAGCGCCCCAGCCCCAGCAGCTGGGCAGGTCAGCGCAGCCAGCATGGACACCGCACCCACCACGGCACCCATCAACACTACCACCCCGACCGCACCCACCACTGGCACCGTCACAGAGAAGCTCAACATTACTGTCTACTCGGCCCTGGCCACCCTCCAGCTATATGCCAGCAACCTGACGGAGGTCACCTCGCCCTCCACAGTGTGGCAGGAGAGCGGGCTGTGCCCCTCAGGTGCGCCTTTGGGCGGGATGGTGGGGCGCGCATATCATGCATGGGTGCGCATGCGTGTGTGCCTGCTGGCAGGGCAACGCCTGCCCGTGTTTGCCTTCCTGCCATATGGAGGCCGCTAGCGGAGGCAGGCCTGCCATGCCTGAAGCACTCTCCTGAGCCGGCTGCGTCCCTCCCCATGCTGCGCCACTCTGCCTGCAGCCGCCTGCCTGAACATGGCGATGTACCCCTTCACCGAGAGCTCGGCCTGCGTGTGCACCAAGGACGGGGTGCAGTCGGTGGCCACCCTGGCCGGCGAGTGCAAGGACGCGACGGTGTGGGCGCTGATTGGGGTGGCGGGCCTGTGCGCGGGGGCCATGTTTGCGGCCATGGAGCTGGCTGTGGACACCGTGCTGCTGAGCGCAGACCAGCTCTTCCTGCGCGTCATCAAGCGCAAGTCCTCCAGGTGCAGCCGCACTGGGTCCTCCAGGCTGGTTTATGAGGGACCCATCTGCGGCAATCTTGGGGCCGCTGCCATCAATCAACCGGTGCTTCATCCCCGGCTGGTGTGCTGCCACCCTGCCCCGGTGCAGGTCCAGCAGCAGGGGCAGCGCACGCAAGAGCGGCGAGGAGCCCAGCATGAGCATGAGCAAGCGGGAGATGGCGTCACCTTCGATGCCCCGAGGCGGCAGCTACCCCTACCTTGTGGTCAACGCCACTGCCACCACTTGAGCACAGCACTGCAGAGGAGGACCTGACCTGACGGCTAGCCATGAGGCCTCTCCTCTCTCCCCCACAGATCTCCCCCACAAAGACCACCGGACTTGGACAGTGACTCGTGAACTGCTGCTCTCTGCCTTCATTGACCTACCCAGCACTCCCTATTTCCTTTCTCAAACCGCCTGCCTGTTCCATAAATGTACCTAGTCGTCTATGCCCGACGCTGTGCAAGCGTCCTGCACCCAAACTGCACCACCACCGCTGCAAACTTGGTGGGACATGCCATGCTACACATCGCAGCACAATATTACGAGCTTGCTGCCAATGTGTTAGACATCTCCTGGGGCAACAGCAGGGAGCGTGACAGAGGATGGCAAGGGCTACTACTATTTACCCGCTGCTGGCTTGGGCAAATTGCTGCCGGAAGGCCGCCTCGTCCAGGACCAGAGGCGGCACCTGCCAGCGCAGGCCGCCACCCCCGCCATCACTGGCTGCCTCCACCTGCCGCCGTCGCACGTGCTGCTGCTGGTGGGGCGGCAGCAGCGCCAGCAGCTCCTCACGCTGCTGCTCCAGCTCCCCCACACGCTGTGCCAGGTGCAGTGGGGCATCCCGCCCAAACAAATGCACGTAGCAGCGCAGGATGTTGAAGCTGCCGCCTCCCGCCCCTGCATCAATGTCATCCTCATAATCGACACAGTCGTCTCCTGCAGGAGCATGAGCATTAGGACAGACAGACATTGTTCAGTTGGACAGCCGTGTGCAGGCCCACCCAGCGTCCGTGCGTGCTAGCCCCACCAATGTCCACGAGCATCTCGTCCACCCGCAGGAAGCGGAGCAGCGCCTCATCAGGCTCCTCCCCGCGAAGCCCAAACACGAGGTGGTTGAGTAGGCGGTAGTCGAAGCTCTTGGCGGCGGACGCCTGCAGCGCCTCCTCCAAGCTGAACCCGCAGCTGCTGCCGTGACCCTGTGCAGGCACGGTGGGGTGCTGCAGCATGAGGGAGCAGAGGCGGCGCTCCTGCTGCCAGTAGCACCGCCCCGCCTCCAGTTCCTGCTGGACCCCAGCCGTCAGCAGCCCACGCTCTCGCAGCACCTGCTGCATGGCTTGCAGGCCTGCACAGGCGGGGCGGCACAGCGAGGCTGTCAGGGGGGAGCAATGCCCCACGCCAAACATGCCGCTGGGTGTACATCATTGCCATGCCGCACTCACCAGCATCGCCAGGCTGATCCACATCCGCTGCCGCTGCTGATGTCGCCTGCTCGTTTTCCTCGTCGGCTTGATATATGACACCTTCGACAAAGATCAGAAGGGGCCACCAATTCAAGAAATCCTGCAAGTGTCATAGCAGTGCCAGCGGTGTTGGATCTGCCCGCCTTGCCTGCCCGCGGGTCGGCGTGCAACCACACCTTCAGCGGTTCTAAGCCATGAAGAGGGAAGTAGGTAAGCACAAAGTCCTGGATTGCACAGAGGGGGCAGCTGTCTTGTGTGGGTCAGCCTACTGCGGTGAGGGCTCCCCGCCCAGCCTCAGAGGGCGGCGCTGGTGGTCGCATGGCATTTTGGCACCAGTCAGGCAATTTAGCCGTCTTTTCCGGCGCCAATATGCTTGCCTCGATCGTGTGTTGAGCGCGCTCCCTGCAACAGACGGGAGGTTGGGGTGCCCATACATGGTGATCTGCCGGGGGCAGCCGGCACTCTTGCAAACGTCTGATCTGATTGCAGGGACTCACAGAGCTTTGAAGCTTATACACAGCTGCTCCATCTGACGTCCTTCGACACTCTCTGTTCTCTTCCTTGCTCAGCTCGGCAGACGATCAATTCACAGAGAAAAGGGAAACAGAAACAAATGGAAGCCAAACGCCAGACAAATGGAACCACCGCGCCAGCGGGGCCAGCGGCAAATGGCGCCACCAGCCCTGCCAGCGAAATCCTTCGATTAGTGCGCCGCTGCTGCGGCCTCAGCCGCCTGCTGCTGCACGCTGCGCCGCTCACTTGCCCATCATCCGCTTCACAGCAGCCACCACGTGCTCCACCGTGGGCAGGGCGGCTGCCTCCAGGTTCTGTGCATACGGCATGGGCACCTCGGCGCCCGTCACCCGCTCCGGCGGCGCATCCAGGTCGTCAAAGCACTCCTCAATCGCGATGCTTATGATCTCTGCGGGCAGAGCAGGCAGGAGCAGCGGAGGGCAGCGCAAAGCAGATCATGGAAAAGCCGTCCCACACCAACCCTCAGCTGGCTGCACACAGCGGCCGGACAGCCGCACCTGAGCCCACGCCCGACTGCGGCCAGCCCTCCTCTACCGACAGCACGCGGTGCGTCTTGCGCACGGAGGCGGCGATGGCGTCGCGGTCGATGGGCTTGAGGCTGCGCAGGTTGAGCACCTCGGCGCTGATGCCCTCCTGCTCCAGCAGCTCAGCCGCCTTGAGGTTGTAGCCCACCATCTTGCCAAAGCCGACCAGCGTGATGTCGCTGCCGCTGCGCATGATCTGCGGGAGAAAGCGCGGCGGGCGTGGGGGAGTGAGCGGGACAACTCACGAAAGAAGATTTGCATCTGCCCTGCGACCCCTCTTCATCACATGACACCACGCCCGCTTCCGCTGGCTCCCTCCCTCCTCTCCAGCCCCCGGCCCCCGGCCCAGGGGTGGGTAGCCCCCCACCTTGGCCTTGCCGATGGGCACCACAAAGTCCTTGTCCAGCACGGCCTCATCCACAGGGAATGGCTCGCCGTACAGGATCTCATTCTCCAGGAACACCACGGGGTCGGGGTCACGGATGGCGGCCTTGAGCAGCCCCCGCGCATCCTCGCTGTCGTATGGCGCCAGAACCTGCACGGGGGGTCAGGAAAGCGTCGGTGTGCAGGCTGGGGGGTGCCAGAGGCTTGCAGCTATGCATTGCAGCCATCTTGGGGGATTTCCAGCATGGCAGGGCAAGGTTGGCGGGCTCGGGCTGGACGTAATCATCTTGGGCGGCGGGCACGCGACGGCCAGCTGGGCAGATCGCGTATGGCACCCCGCAGGGCAATCGCGACCTACCAGCTGGATGCAGTGCATCCGCTGCTGAGGAGATGTACGTCAAGCCCAGTCCGCCACCCTGCCCCACCAACCCCAACCCCAGTATGCTCAAGGAGCGCCACTGCGGCACGAACGGCGGCCAGCCCCGCGACCCTGCCCACCTTGAGGCCGGGCACGGAGCTGTACCAGGCCGCAAAGCACTGCGAGTGCTGCGCCGCCACGCCCGCCGCTGCGCCATTTGCGCCACGGAAAACGATGGGGCAGGTGACGGCGCCCGAGCTCATGTAGTGGTGCTTGGCCGCGGAGTTGACTATCTGGTCGATGGCTTGCATGGAGAAGTTGAAGGTCATGAACTCCACAATGGGGCGCAGGCCCTGGAAGGCGGCGCCCACGCCGATACCCGTGAATCCCGCCTGCAGGCGCGGTGGGGGAGGCATGGTGTAGCCATGCGGAACGGCATCGGCGGCGGCAGTAGCGGCACCCACCAACGCTCCTTCGTCCTCTCTGCTCTCTGGCGCCCTCCCTGACGCGCAGCCCCATTCCGCCCCCCATTCTGCCCGCAACCAGGCCAGCCAGCCAGCCAGCCGGCCTGGGAATACATACCTCTGTAATGGGTGTGTCCTTGACACGCTTGGGCCCATACTTTTGCAGCAGGCCTCGTGTGATCTTGTACGCACCCTGGTACTCAGCCACCTCCTCTCCCATGATGAACACAGTCTCATCCCGCGCCATCTCCTCATCCATGGCTGCAGGCACACACACCGGTCGCAGGGGGTAGGTGGCAGCAGGGAGTGGGCAATCAAACAACTGGGAGTTGCCCAGGGTGGCGGCGGATGCACCGGCTGCCGCTACGCCCATGCGGCTGCCCCCGGCCGAAACAATCGGCGCCCACCTGAGTTCAGCGCATCACGAATGGTCATCTGCAAGGGCAGCGGAGCAGAGAACATGGGCATGAGACAACAGCGCTCTGGCCGGCATGGCAGCGGCGGCAAAGCCCTAATAGCGATGCTGGCCTGGCCGGCGCTGCTGCGTGTGGATGCAAGCGTGCATGGAACCCGGCTCCTTGCTCCACCGCCACTGCGGCAGACCCAGCACACACTGGGCTCACCTGCGTCGTGGCATAGCTGCGCACCAGCTGCGGCACGAGCGCGGCAGCGGCGCCGTCCCCCTGCACACATGCGCCACCGCCGGGAGGGTCAGCCCTGCACCCCTACTTGGGCGCGCACCGACTCCCACCCACGGCCCTCGCCACCATCCTGGGGATCTGCAAGGCCCACCTGGCTCCTGCGCAGGAGCGCAGCCGCCCCACAACCCAGTCGCTGCATGGCCCTGGCTCCCAATTGCCGCGCTCTGCAGCCCAGTGGCCAACTGGGTGATCCACGACCGTCGCAGTGCAAGGAGGGAAAGGCAGGAGGACGTGCGACCTAGGCCTGCCGCGCTGGCCTGATGCCGTTTCCTGGGGAGAACTCACCGATTTCGCCTTTGCTCAACCACAGACACTGAGAGCGATCAATCACACAGCGAAGTGTTCAGCGCCGCCGCCAACCTTGCCAGTGTGCACTCCAGCCAGCGCTGCAGCACCTGCGCACAAGTACGTGTTTCGATGAGTGTGAACGAAGCGGCAGTGAGAGCTGCCGTCAAGGCGCGCAAGGCCTACATCATCGAAAACTTGAAGTGAGCCGACAGCTCCGGCTCAGCTTTGCCCGGGCTCGTTGCCTCTGCTGCGATCCAGGGGCACAATACACGCACGCGCTGTGTGCACGCAGAGCGCCGCTCAGCCTGAGCGCCACGCCGCCGTCGTCGCACGCTGCCGCCCGCCTGCAGCACCATGACGCTCAAGTCCTGCCGGCAGATGCTTGAGGCTGATATGGGCGTGGAATCGGGCACGCTGAAGCCCTTCAAAGATCTGCTGGGCAGTCTGATTGACAACGTGGGTTGCAGCAGGCTCTGCATGGTGTGCCCCATGACATTCTAGCCCATGGCAGCATCACCGGCAGGTGCGTCACCCTTCCCCTATCGATCCACGTGCAGCTCCTTGCCAAGAAGGTGGCGGCTGAGAAGACGCAGCAGGAGGAGGAGCCGGGCTTCTCGGACAAGAAGAAGACGAAGGCAGCCGACAGCGGCAGCAAGCCCAGCAAGCGGCAGAAGCGGGAAGAGAAGCAGCCTGCCAAGTCGTCGGGTGGGTGCATGGAAGGGGATGCAAGACTTGTGATGCAGAGTATTGTTTCCCCAGACTGGATTCTGACAGCAGGTGCAGCAGCAGTGGTTATCGTATTTGCTGCCCAGAAACCTGTCGCATGGAGCTTAGCTGTCCCCTACGCATGTGCCGTCTGGAAATGGGAACTGTGAGCAATAATGCAGCAGAGGCAGCACTTGTGTTTGTGCAACACGGTTGATGTGAACGCTGCTCCCACTCTGCCTGCAGGCCCGCGGCAGTACAGCCGCACGGTGGAGAAGCTGCGTGGCATCTGCAAGGCTGCCACCATCACCATCCCGCCCAGCCTCTACGTCAAGAACAAGAGTGACGAGGATCTGCAGGCAGCGCTGGAGGAGCTGCTTGGCAGACATGGCCTGGATGCCAACTCGGGTGGGGACTGGCGCAGGGCACAAAGCAAGGGGGGTGGTAGGTAGTCCATGAGTGTGCTTGCATCCGGTGGCCTGCTTGCAGCATGGTTGGGCGAATCCACATCCACATTGGTTGCAACATGGTGGGCCCCATCCTGCAGGCGAGCGCGACATCCAGAAGGCCAAGAGCAAGCTGCAGGTGCAGCGAGATCTGGATGGCATCGACTCATCCAACATCATCCAGGGCGGGCGCGGCCGGCGGGCCGCCGCGCCGGTGTCATACAAGGGAATGGTGCAGCCGCCCTCTGATTCTGAGGAGGAGGAGGAGTCGAGCAGCGAGGAGGAGGAGGAGGTGGCGCTCTCCGGCAGCGATGCGGAAGCGGGTGGGTCCACACACAGCCGCCTGTGCTGGCAGCACAGCTCGCTGGTCAGGCAGTTCTGCTGCCAGAAGCATTGCAATTAGCCCGACAGTGAATTGCGCTCCCGCTGGCCTGCAGACTTGGACGGCACGGCGCCCGCCAAGGCCGCTAAGCCTGCAACTGCGGCACAGAAGAAGAAGCAGGAGGCCTCTGCATCCGAGTCGGAGAGCGAGGTTGCAGCCAGCAGCAGTGAGGAGGAGGAGGAGCTGGTGGAGCAGAAGGACAAGCATGTCGACAGCAATGGGGCAGCAGCAGCGGGCCGCGGCAAGTCACCCGCGGCCAAGAGCCCCGATGAAAACACGGCAGCCAAGTCCAACACGGGCAGCGGGGGCAAGCGCAAGTCGGCCAGCAAGGTGCGGCCAGCCGCCAGCCTGGAGGACAGCGACAGCGAGCAGGCGCCTGCAGCTGCCGGCAACCGGCGCGCCCTGGCTGAGTGGTCTGAGGACGATGACTGAGGCTGCTGTGGCCACTGCCCGCCTGGCATTAACCCGCTGCGTGCGCACCCGCCCCCTTGCTGCTGCCCACCTTGGCTGCAACCCTTGCTCACACTGATTGCGACTTGCATACCCCTGCCTTCTTTACAGCAATGTTTCACAACTGACCCCATCCCGTGTAATCAACCTATATAGCTGGTTTTAAGGTGCTGCTGACAGCCCTACTCATGCCCCATCACTTGCCCCCGGCTGTTACCTACTCCATCACTACTTGACCATCAGCGACCCCACGCGCCTGGCAATAGCCAGCAGTGCCTCATTGACCTTGCGCATAGCCTCCTCATTCCCCTGCCGCAGTGCCTCCACTCGCCCCTCCAGTGCCGTCACCGCTGCCTGGCACTCCCCCGCCACTTGTCGCACTGCTTCGTTGATCCTGGTGTCCACCGCCGCCAGTCGCGCCTCGTAGCCCCACAGCGCCGCCTGCACCTCCTCCTGTGCAGCGGCGGAACTGCCGTGGCCCATGGCGGTGGCCACCTGGCTCACGAGCTGCCGGCTCATCTCCGCACGGGTGGCCACCAGGGCCTGGCATCTGGCCTCGGCGGCCTCGCACCGCTGGTCCAGCAGCGTCAGCATGCCGAGCTTGAAAGCACCCAGGTCACCCGCCTCCTGACCCTGAAGGGAGCAGATGTGTGCAGCAAGCCTGATTGGGAACCATCTTGACACCTTTGGGCCAATTCTTCAGGTTCGGCACGCGCAGCGCGCAGCTGTAGCGGACGCTTGCCTGAGTCAGCTGATAGGTGGGGTTGGTCAGCAGGCTGTCATCGGCGGGCTCGGCGGGCTGCATGCCTGCTGCAGCGTGCCCGCCTGTCTCCCCTCGGCCGTGCACACCCTGCCCCATGTGTGCTGCGGGGATGGTGTCGCCATCCTCGGGCCCCACCGCCACCAGCAACTGCTGCAATGTGGCAAAGCGTTCGTTGAGCTTGTCGAGCGGGGCAGCGCCGCTGGTAGACGCAGCGCCGGGTCCTGCTGCTTTGCCAGTGGCCTCTCCCGCCTTGCCAGAACCTGGGCTGGCCGTCGGGGGCTTGGCAGCCGCTGCAGAGCACGGCCGCGGCGGCAGATCGCTCCCTGCTGTGCAGGCACCCGGCGACTTGGGGCGGCGGCTGCGGGCTGACAGGGGCAGCTTGGACTCGACCTCCTTGGCCGGGGAGGTGGCGCTGGCGGGGGCCGCAGCCCGCACCGCATCCAGCACCGCCTCAAGCGCGAGGCCTGCCTCCAGGGCCACCTGCAGGCAGGGTGAGCGGGACGCATGGCGCTCAAGCTCCCTTGGCCCGGGCCAGGACACCAGCCTCATCAAGCACGCCGACCCATGTGCATGGGCCAGCCTCGCCATACTCCCAGCCCCTATCCAGCCCGCCAGCCACTTGCCTGGGCCAACGCCTCCAAGAAGCGGGGGAAGCTGAGCACCCTGCTGCCCTTGCGCGCCACGGTGAACACCACGTCTGCCGCCGCCTTCTCGATGGGCAGCCCCGCAGCGGCGCAGGCGCGCTGGAACTGCCTGCTGTTGATCCCGTCGCCCTTCTCCGCCCGCTCCGCCAGCCCCTTGGCCGCACCCCAGCTGGCAAAGTGCAGGAAGGCGGCCCTGAGGCGAGGGTCGGTGGCGGTGTTGGGCGGGATAGGGGCGGGCTTGCGCTGCAGCCGGGCCTGCCGGGCCCCCTCGGCCTGCACCTTGGCCAGGCGGCTGTAAACCGCCCGGAATTCTTCAAAGCTGACGACTCCATCGCCGTTGGTGTCCATCTCTCGCAGTATAGATAGGAGTTCGTGTCGGTCCATGCCGTTGGAAAGGAGGTCCAGGTCTCGCAGAGCCGACAGCAGCTCGTCACGGTCCAAACGCCCGCTGCTGTCGGCATCATACTTTCTGAACACCTCGGCGGCCATGGCCCAGTCGCCGCCGCCCACTGCGCAAGGCGAGCACGTCAGGATGGCATCGGCTGTGGTCAATGCAGCGGTGGTGGTTGGGCATTGCCGCCCCGGTGGTGCGCGGCGCAACCCTCCAACGTGCCGACAAGTCGCAGAGGGCCGGCGGATGCAGGGTCTAAGCTGCTGCAGACTCACCGTTGGCGCAGGCCATTTTCAGGTGTCCACGAAAAAGTGTCGAAATCGATGGCGCCAATATCAGGTTACTGACTGCAATTCACAGAATGAAGGGCGCAGGGAATCCAACAGAAAGGGGAAACCGGCTGGTTGCTCCTGCTGTGCCACATAGGACGTGCTGTGGTTCCCAAAACAGCGTTCCCACCACAGCGTTCCCTTTGCACATCCATCAGCACCATGAGGGCCTGCGCGACAAGACTGCTGGGGAGCACAGGGCAAGTGCTTGGGCTGGGCCGCCGCCCTTCGCGGGCCGAGTGCTTGCTGGCCTGGCAGCCGCTGCACGCTCACCACCACCAGCAGCAGCAGCGCAGGCGGCGGCAGCGTGGCCTGCATGCCACATGTGGCGCACCGGCGGCAGAGCAGGCGGCAGAGCAGGCAGCGAAGCAGGCGCCGCCCACCACCCCGTCCAGCAGCGGCCCACCTCCGACAGCGCTGCAGTCGTTTGACTTTATCACTCTGGCAGCGGCAACAGCAGAGCTGCAGGCCTGGGTACCGGCCAAGATTGAGGCCGTGATGCAGCAGGAGACGGGAACGGCGCTGCGCCTGCGCACGGCGGCCGACACTGGTGAGGCTGGTGGCTGCTGTGGTTTGCTTTTGGGCCGGCTTTACAGTCCAATTTTGGCGAGAGCGTTATGAAGCAGGCGCTGCTCCGGTGGCTCCAACCGTCTCCCGCTGCCCCCGCTCCCAGGCTGGCTGCACCTCGGCTATCACGCCCGCTACGCACACGTCGGCATGAGCAGCGACCCTCCCGCCCGCGGCTCCGCCGCCGAGCTCTACACCTTTGGCGCGCAGCTGCAGGCGGCGCTGCGGGGGCTGGTGCTCACGGGCGTCTCGCTGCCCACGCCCTTTGAGCGCGTACTGAAGCTGGCCTTTGCGCAGCGCCCCGGAGAGCCCGCCGCCTGCCAGCTTGTGTATGAGTGCATGGCGCGCTACTCCAACCTGCTGCTGGTGGGGCCCGACGACATCGTGCTGGCGGCGGCGCACCAGGTGCTGCAGGGGGCGGGGCGTGCGGCGGTGGTGGTTGGGCCCATGCCGGTCGTGCTGTGGGCAGGCATAAGTGACAGTACTTCGATGTTTTATCGCTGCCTGCTGTTTTGGTGGGGCCTGATGCTCCCCGCCTTGCAGGTGGGGCAGCGCATGTCGAGCGTGCGGCACGTGCAAGTGGGCGGGCGGTGGGAGCCGCCGCCGCCCGCCAGCGGGCTGGACCCCGACAGCTGCGCCTCGCTGGAGGAGTGGTGGGAGGTGCTGTGCCGCCTGGCAGAGGCGGCGCCTGCAGACCGCAGGCCCACGCTGGTGCAGGTGGCGGTGCGCGGGTTCCGCGGCGTCAGCCCGCAGCTGGCACGTGACATAGCGCAGGCAGCGGGCGTGCCGGCAGACAGCCTGCCCGCCGACCTTGCGCCCGACCAGTGGCAGCGCCTGCACCAGCAGTGGCAGGCCTGGCTGCAGCGCCTGGCCTCGGGCAGCTTTGCCGCCAGCAGCTGCCCGCGGAGCGGCGCCTACAGCCTGCTGGGTACGCAGCCGCGCCCGGTGCCCAGCCTGCTGCCCTTCCTTCACGACTACTACTCGGCACCGCAGCAGGCAGAGACCTTTACCGCTCTCAAGCAGCAGCTGGCTCGAGCAGTGGCTGCCGCCATGGCACGGCTCCAGAAGAAGATGGAGTCACTGCGGCAGCAGGGCGGGGATGGAGACAAGCACGAGCGCACGCAGCGGCTGGCTGACATGGTGATGGGCAACATTTACCGGTGAGCAGGGGGACGCGGCCAGCAGCGGAGAGGAGATGAGGGGTCCTTGCGGTGGATGCATGCTTGGCCATGCCGCCAGAGCACTGCTGGCGCATGCTGTACACACGCTGCTCCCCTCTGCTGCGCGGTGCTGCCGCCTCAGAATCCAGCCGGGCGCCGCCTCTGTGGAGGTGGAGGACTGGGATACTGGGGAGCTGGTGGCGATCAAGCTGGACCCTGAGAAGACAGCGGTGGCGTTTGCAGAGGGCCTGTACAAGCAGGTGCAGCTTACTGCCGCCGTTGGCTGAACCTGCACGCGGAGACTGTTTTTGTGCTGCCGGCGTGCAGGCCCACAGCTGGTTGCATTGCCTGCATTTGCAGGCCCGCAAGCAGCGGCGCGCGGTGGAGCAGGTTGCGCCGCTGCTGGCGGCAGCGCGGCAGGAGCTGGACTACCTGGCGGAGATGGAGGTGATGCTGGCGCAGCTGGAGGCCGGCTCCCACCTGGCGGCGCTGCAGGAGGTGCAGGTGCGAGCGGGGTGGGGGTGTTGGTTGGCGTGCTGGAGCGGGGTGATGGCAGGCCCGGGCAAACGAGCAGCAGCACTGCCAGCAAGTGTGCTTTGCCCAGTCTTCAACACGGCTTGCATGGTGCCTGTTTTGCAGGCTGATCTGGTTGCAGGCAAGTACATGAAGGCACCGCCAGACGCAGCGCTGGCTGACAAAGCAGTCGCTAAGGCCCGCAAGGCGCAGAAGCGCAGCGGCGGCAGCAGCAACGCCGCCGCCGGCGGCAGCCGAGACTTCCGGCGCTACGACTCGCCCTCCGGCTTTGCGGTGCTGGTGGGGCGCAACAGCCGGCAGAATGACGAGCTCAGCTGCAGGCTGGCGCAGCCTGGCGATGTGTGGATGCATGCGCGCGGCGTGCCGGGCGCACACCTGGTGATGCGCGTTCCTGCGGGGCAGGCGGCCGGGGAGGCGGACCTGCGGTTTGCCGCCGACTTGGCTGCCTGGTTCTCAAAGGCACGCACCGACGGCAAGGTGGACGTGACAATGTGCGACCCCAAGCACCTCTCCAAGCCCTCCGGCGCCAAGCCGGGGCAGGTGATGGTGAGGAAGGAGGCGGTGGTGGTGGGGCGGCCAGACCAGTCGGTGGCGGCGCAGCGGGGCGAGGTGGAATGAGGCCAAGTGCCACCCTCTTGAGGCATCCCCTTTGGGTTCTGTAGCCAACCACTGTGCCAAGGCCTGCCCGACCGCCAGCACTGCTCTTCCTTTCCCAGTTTTAAAGCGATGTTATAATGGTGATGCCTGTACAAGTGTGGGCATTCGTCAGACATTTTTTTCTCAAGGGAGTGGCTGAGGCGCGCTGCCACAGCAGCGCAAGGAATGAAAGAGCAAAGGGTAAGAGTACAGAGCAGCATTGCAGGGGAGCGGGAGCGGAGGGGAGGCAGGCACGCACACAGTTCTCACGGAACACAACTTGGAGCTTGGCAGGCTAGCTGACTGGCTGATGGTCGGACAGGATGTCATCACTCGATGCCAAGGACCAGGGGAGGTGGTGGGGAAGGGTGCGGCGCGCTTAGGCCGCCACGGGCTGCTTGGAGGCTGCTGCGGGCTTGGCGGCCGCGGTCTTGTCCAGCTGCGCGTGCCTGATCAGCTCCTCGTTCACCTGCGGCGCCAAGCAGGGCCCAAAGTCGTGCAGGCTCAGCCAGCACAGCCCCAGCACAGCAGCAAGCTTTCTGCCAGGGCAGCAGCATAGCAGTCCCCTTGAGCTGCCACCCTTGAGCTGCACAGCCGCCACGCACCTCTGCCACGGTTGGGTGTGCGTGCACGTTGAACTTGAGGTCGCCCAGCGTCTGGCCCATGTTCATGGCATTGGAGAACTCGTGGATGTTGTCGGCAGAGTGCAGGCCAATCATGTGCACCCCCAGGATCTCCCCGGTGTCCTTGCGGTACATCATCTTGGCCATGCCGTCGCTCTCCAGCTCAGCCAGGCTCTTGCTGTTGGCCTGCAGCCAGGGGGGGGGAGGTGGGGGAGATTGAGGGGTTCAGCTTGAGGTGAGAGCAGGGTTCC